ACAGTACACTAGGCAAAAGGCTTGTGGACAAACGGGCTGCACTGGGTTACAGAGACATGGCCTATAGACTACGTAACTGACTGGTGAATGGGATCGAGGAAATCTTTGGGTTGCTTCAAAAACAGCATGATTGTTTCCCGCTGGCAAAAAGAGCTGAAGAGCCTTTTTTCCAGCCTAGACTTTTGCATGAAAAAAATGAGCAAAAAAGAAAAGACAGATATATTCTGTGACAACAAGGCTTTGGACAAACTACAAGGTTGGATACTTTCAGTGGCTACAGGCCCAGAGTGTACCATGATAAGATGATATGGTCACAGGGCGTATGTGCTGCAGGGCAAAGGAATGATTTCGTTTCTGGGAATAAAGAAAGATGGTACAATGCACTTTGTCTCCCAGTTTGCCATTTACAAAAGACAGATATATGCTGTGACAACAAGGCTTTGGACAAACTACAAGGTTGGATACTTTCAGTGGCTACAGACCCAGAGTGTACCATGATAAGATGATATGGTCACAGGGCGTATGTGCTGCAGGGCAAAGGAATGATTTCGTTTCTGGGAATAAAGAAAGATGGTACAATGCACTTTGTCTCCCAGTTTGCCATTTACCAACACAGAATTTTAGAGCTGAAGGTAAGGAAGCCAATCAGAATGTGGGAAAACTAGGAGTGTCTACTCCTGAGTGATTCTACACCACAGAGAGAGAGAGAGAGAATGATTTTACTGTTTTTGTTTACATTTTTCCTTCTGATTTTCCCATCTTGATTCACCTAGATCAGTTATCCTACATTCCTGAGTCTTCAGGAACCTGATCCTTGGATAGGTAGCTGTATGTCTTTTTTTCTCAAGCTTTAGGCCAAAGGCCACTGAAAATAGTGGGCCTCAACTAGACGGCTGGTGGAAGATTACAAGCAAATATAGTGTTTAAGGTCTAAGTGTGGCTAATTTTGTATAATTATAATATCTCTGATACTTTAATACAGGTTGTTCTGCTTTTTATCTCCTAACTGCATTGTATTGTTTTAGAAATTCATTGATTTCCTTTGATTTACTTTATACTGTGCCTTCATTTTGTGAATTTTCTCCACTATTTATCTGCTATGATTTAAATAAATATTCAAAATAACTACACCTATGGATAGCCTCAGTTCATCTCTGGTTACACCTTCCACCCACTGAGGCACATAAAGGACCTCACTTTCACAATACATGACCACCATGTGGGCCACCAATTTCCCAAACTTTCCTTATGATTCCACAGTTGAGAAGCCAGTGGAGTCTAGCAGTTGGACTGCCCAGACTAGGACCTGGAGACCACAATTTCAATTCTCCCTCTGCCATGAAGCAAACTAGACATTGCCTTTCAGTCTAGCCTTTCTCACAGGGCTACTACAGGGATAAATGGAGGGTATATGTGCCAACTTGTGCTTTTGAAAGAAAGGTAGGAAAAAATCAATGTAATAAAAAAGTATGATGTTTCAGCTTTGTACAGGTCATTGAAAACCACAGACCAGTAGGCTGACCCTTTTCCTATTCTCCTTCTTATTTTCCCAGTTCCAACTGAATACCAGTGGATCATCCTACAATATATCTTTAAGATATAATATGCACATATTTATGAAAACAATAGTCAAAACTGAGGGAACAGAAAGGAGCAAGTGACTGCATAAGAGGAGGGAGAGTGAAAGAGAAACTGGCCAAGAGATGAATCTAACATACCACCATTCAACGTTATATTTTATAAATAAAAAGACACAAATTTAACATTTAGTGGTCACCTACTTTTGCACCCTATAAATTACAACAGCAACCAAGAAACTGCAGTACAAACTTTAGTCAATGGATCTGATACGGCAGTATAAAATAACTACTTTAAAAGTAGTTAAAATAACAGATTCGCTGAATTTCCTAGTTTTCCCATTGTAGTTCTGTTCACATACAGCACTTCAAGTTTACTTTAAGGTCTAGCATCCCATGTTAATGAGCCTTTTACAATTTCAGAAGCTAATACACTTACACACCTCTTCCTCTGCTTACAATTGCAAACTGTCTAAAAAGCTGGGAGTAAATGTTATGCTTCACTAAGAGAAAATGGAATCCTAAATCACTAACCCATGTGTAATTGTTCACCTCTCCAACGTGGCCACAGTACATCAGCCTTACTGGTCCACTGTTTAGACTTTGTCTACTCAGTTCTAAAGCAGATCAATACTTAATTTCTAGCCCACATCTGTTAACCTTCTCTCGGATTACACATGTTCTTAAACCATAGAATGGTAGACTTTATGCTAAACTTTACAAACATCAACCACAAACGCCCAGATGATAGATCTCTTAGCTATGCTAACATCTAATGTTTAGAATAACTTCCATGAACACATTCATTTATAAAACCCCTAGACTCCTACTTTGAATCATTACTTTGACCACACACCCTAGGTTCTTAAAGAAATCTAAGGCTATTATCAATGCCAATTTTTTGAAACTCATGGCCAACTGCAAAATCATGCTAAACAACCAGCAGTTTTAATGCTACCCTGTTCTTCTAATACAGTGTAACAAATAATTCAGTACAGTAAATGTTTGGTGATGTTGTGACCACATTTACCGCTTGAACTGAAATCAAATATGCAAATTGTTTAAATAATGTTTAGTATGTTGGTTAACGGAGTAGTTTTTGAATTTGACATTCATTGTTATTATTTGATCAAGCACAAACAATAACAATAATAAGGCATATAACTACAAAGCATACACCATCTGAAATGTTGCCTACCTAAAAAAAACTACCATGAGTGGTCACAGAACAGATTAAACAGTACAGTAAACATACAGATGAAGAATTTAAGTACTCAATTCAATTGTTAGTCTCAGCTAGAGTAAATCTAATGAATTGTTTGGTGGACTTTTGTTCAAGAAACTGGGAGGTGAAATCCAAACTATGACTAACAGGGGTAGAATTTGAAAACTCACCCCCAATTCTGTTTGGCAGGCATGCTTTTTGATTTCGCTTTTGAGAACCAAACAGGCATAGACAGCTGCCAGAAATTTTTGGGACTCTCATATATATGCTTTGTTTATAACATTTTGAAATACAGCCTGAGGAAGATGGATTTATGTTGAAAGTGAGCTGTTTGTTCAAATTTTTAGTGGTCCAATAAAAGTATCACCTCTCCTTGCCTTTGAATTACCACAATGCTCCATTAAGATTTTTTATGATCTAATGAATGAATAGCACTTCTGAAATCAATGCCTCTGTAAATCACATTCATCAACAGTTCTACTGTAGCTGGCACTAACAATTGCATTTCACCACATATGACCAAGCATTTATGTGTTACTATTATACCTGCCAGCAGACATGGTTCAAGAGGAAAAATCCAAAGAAACCAACATACAAAAAACGTAGGCTTGTCTTTATATTACAGAAATCTGAAGATCAAGTCATTTAAACTGTTTAGACAAAACAAAGCAGAAAAGTTTACCAAAATAAAAAAAAGGTAATGAATTGGAAATTAAGTATTTGATTCCCGGTTCCAGTACACGGATATTAAACAGAGGGGAACTAAACTATTATTCCCCGTAGAGAGAGAGATTAACTGAAATATCTGCAACACCCTATATGGTATCGAAGTACGCGAGTACAGAAAAGAAGGGCCTCCTTTCCGAGCTCAGCGCCCCGTGAATCAGTTCATTAGAGAAATGAGGAGCCGGGGCCATTCTACCCAGCCTTCCTCCCATTCCCTTAAAAAAAGACTCCCTCCTACGCTAATTTCCCCACAAGCTGAGACGTGGCTCACTCCTGTTGGTTTGGAAGCGACTCCGTGCCGTGACGAGTTGAAAACCAGACTGAAGTCCACAAAGAAACCATCTGCCAGTGGGAAAGAATGTGACTGGGAGTAGTGGGGAGGGAGGGGGGGAGGCAGCCGAGGTCTGGTCTCTCTCTCCCCCCCCGCCGCCCCTCTTTCCGAAAAGAGCCACCAAACGGGAACAGAAGAGGGGGGAAATCCCCCTCGGGGACCTCTTCCCCTCGCCTCTAGAGAAAGCGGAGAAGAAGCAAGCCAGCCTCTCACCTCGTGTCAGCGCCTGAATGGGGTTGGAGAAGGAAAGCGGAAGCGCAACGCCGGAGGGTGTCAGCCTCTCTCTCTCTCTCTCTCTCTCACACACACACACACACACACACACACACACACACACACACACACACACACACAGAGTGTGTGTATAATGGAGAGCTTCCTTCTCTCCGCGGACAGAGGCAGCTTTCCCTCCTCTGGAAACGGACGCCCGTCCAGACAAGCCCGCCTCCTCCTCCTCCTCCTCCTCACGCGCTCCCCGGTCGTGAGGGAGACGGGAACCCGCCATACGGGCGACGCCGGCACCGGCGAGAGGAGGAAGCGCTGCCCGCGGCCCGACCCCCCAACGCGCGGAGACCCTTCCTGTCCGGGGACTTTCCCTGAGGAGGAATGGGAAGCAAGAGAGGGAAGAAGGAGCGAGCTCTCTTCCCCCTCAGCCGCTGAAAAAAGTGACGGACGGAGGGAGGGAGAAAAGCGCCGGCATGGAAAGGGGGCTCCTGCCGAGCAAACTACCGGGGG